AGCGACCGTGGCTCCTCCCTCTGTCGGTTCCACCGTGGGTCGACATCATGGCTGTGGCCTGGGTCCTGCTGTGCTCCTCTTGCTCCGGGTCCCTCCTGGCTCCTCCCTCCTTCGTCGCCCCCCTGGTCTCTGTCTGTCGGCTTCCTCCCGGATATCCGTCCTCCTCCGGAACCTCCTCCCAAGTTCCCACCCACACCTCCCTGTGTTGTTGCTACGGTGCGAGGACGCACCTTCCGCAGACGTTATGTCAGGATTATGGACTATTCTGTGTGTGTTTTTGCCCCTGTGACCCAGTTTCTTCCTCATGTTGATTGTGTTAATTTGATTCCAGGTGTGTCTTGTTCCTCCCCATTATCCCCTATTTAAATTATAGATTTAAAAGCCATAGTCCTTTTTGTTCTTGTTTGTCGGGTCTACTTGTTGAATGTCTTCCTTGTTCTCGGTTTTCCTGTGGATTATTAAAAACTGTGTTATTCAAGTACTCCTCGTTCCTTGCTTCCCGAGTAAATTGTGACCGATTCGAAGAAGAAAAATAAATGTGCTCAACAATTTGGGATTAAGTGGGTTACAATAATGATCTGAACAAACCGCTAGAGATTTTACAGTACATAGAGCCAAACTATATGATCAGAATATCATCTTTTGACTTGAACCAGTAAGCAGCAAACTAGTAGCGACTACCAAAAACACCCTAGAAATCACTTAGCCCTGGAAGGCATCCAAAACCCCCTCACATCGTAGGCGAACATCAGAAAAAGTAAAAACTATCATTTTAACATAGAAGCCTACATTAATCAATGTTGCCTAAGACTATAAAGTGTTGGAACAACTTATCGTTTGATCAACTAAACTAAATCGTTCCTCCAAAACCAGCATCAAAGACTAGCTGCTGTTTGTTTCTGGCCATGTTATCATTATTTCAGCTGGAAATCTCCAGGGCGAGGTTGACTATGTGTCCGGCTGGATTTGTCGCTGCAGAGCAGATCCAGTAGATAATCCAAGAAAGCTGGGCTTCCATTTGAGCAGCACTGGGGTTTCCCGTCCCCTGAGGCCTCGTTCTGACCGCTCCGAGCCGCTGGAGAAGAGCCAGCTCACACCGAGGTGTCCTCTTTCTGCTCTGTCTGCCTCGGCTAACACAGAAATGTACGTAATACACCAGAGACAGTGCACCTTTAGTTATAGAGATTATATATAACCAGGGCTAGTCTTGTGTAACACAAAATGAAATTGTATTGTATGGAACGTTTCAGACGGGGGCATGAATTGTGCATGACTTCTCTCCACTGCATCTCATTAAGAGGGAGTCAGGTCATCTATATCAAAGACTCGTCACCCCGCTCATAGCAGCAGTTTACAGGTCGCTTCAATAGTAAAGTTCACAATAGCGGGGTAATTTGCAGGTAGAGCTGCAGGGATCAAAAGGCTGTGACATCTCTAAAATAGCATGTCTGAACATGTTCAAGCAAAGAAAGGAAAGAAGAGTCTTTCATTCTCATTTCATTTCATTCTCATGTCTGAGTCTTTCATTCTCATTTAATGTTCGCTTCAAGGCATCTCTTCCACTTTGGGCTGTGTGCTCTTTTAGAAAATAACTTCTACTAAAAAAAACAAGAGTTTTTTGTGAAACAATACCTGCATTACAGAAGAATTCTGTCATTTTTCTGAAACATCATTTTCTCCACATATCAAATTGCATGTCGTGTGGAAATGGTGGAAATGACAGTGATGAAAATGACATTTTAAAAACTTTTGGAATAAAAAACCTGACTCCTTTGTGTGGCTAAAAACAATTTCACTGCTTGCATTTAACAATTAAAAAAAATACATCTCATATTTCACCTTAAGCTCTTTACTAACACTGTTGTTTCCTTAGTGTAACCAAGTATACTAACTTACTAATAAAAAAATTAATTGTTGATAAAACTTTCATGAAGGGAAACTGTTAGTCAAAAACAGTTAACTTGTGCAAAATCATTATTTAAAAAAAGGTCTGGGAGAAGGGTAAAACAACAAAAAATAAGTAGTAAGTAAATAAATAAATACACTTTTAAATAGATAAATGTAATTGCAAATAAATAAATAACTAAAACTAAATAAATAAATAAATATCATTGTAAGTAAATAAATAAAAATAAATAAACATAAAATAAAATAAATGTTGTTTTAATAAAAATCAACCCCTAGGAAAAAATAACAGTGCCTCAAATATACTGAAACACCCATTAACATCGATTCAACTCAATCTTCATGCACACTGGGATTTACCTCTCACGATGATGCAGACGACAGGCTCTACTCATAAAATGATTATCTTTAAATTTAATTCTGCAGTGGTACCATCATTCTTTCTAAATTTATGCCTGCTCTGATTAACGTTACCATATGATGACAGTTTCAAAACACAACATCAAAGAATTCCTCGTCTAAGCATGCCAAAGACCCAGAATAACCTCTGCTGTCTTCTTCAGCATACACTGCAGTCAATTCCAAGACACTCTGGAGGGATTATTCAAGAGGAGTGCTGATCCAGAGTGCCATACACAGTAACAGAGGGATAAGGAGTACGGCCTTCCCCAGAGAGAGGGACATTCTGCAGATAAGCTACTGAAAGGAGGAAGATATTGCCATGTGGTTTGTTGTGATATCGAGCACACGGTGATATCAGTGATGTTTGCCAGTATAAATGAAAATGTTTGGAGAGACAATGCATCCTCCACGAGAAAGTGTTACGCTGCGGGTGCAGCGATGATCACACACTCAGACTGCGGTGTTGTGTTTCCACAATGGGGGATTTGACAGCTTTGTTAGACATGCTAGAACTCCAACTCACCGAGAGCTGGATTGCCGCCGGAGCTTGTCTTGCTTTACCTATACTTTCATTTGGTTTGTAAGGTTCCTGAATAAATCTCCCTGTCTTTTTCTCACATTTCAAATTTCAGTAGTGGAATTTAAAACTACTTCCTTCCGCCACCAATTCAAATATTAAATTCATAGTTTAACAGCTGAGTCCAAGCCTCTGCTACTAATTCAAAAACTAGTAACGAAGGAATGTTGAGCTGCTTCATTGAAAACGTATTGTATTACTGTATTAAAAGCTCACCGTATTATGTAGAGTATAATGAGAAAGATACGTCTGATACAGCATTCATTTTTCACCTCAATCTTATATTCACAATAAAACATTACTTTGAATGTATGCAGAGGAAAACGATATCTTTGTCGTACTATCCTTTCATCTGTTAAGGGTGATTTCCAATGACAGCGTTGTTCAGTGCATTTGTTATCTGCGTCTTACAAGGTGTTGTTGAAAGTAAAAATAACTTCCTTGTTTACAACCCTGTTTCAGTCTCTTTCAAAATAAAAGTCTTTGCTACCGACTCATAAAGGCAGTCTCTTATCGCCATCTAATGGCAGAAAAATGCAACTAAACACAGACTGCTTCTCAATACCAAATACTATTATTAAATACTACTATTATTTGTATAAAATAGGCTATTATTTATTGAAAAATACATTTAATAAACACCAACAGCCATTATAAATTTTGCTAAGCAATTCAAAAGTACATAGGCAGTGCTCTGATACAACACTGAATTTAGATAAAATATAAAGCCATTAGACTTTGTCCTCAGCTAAAACTATTTGCTCTGGAACAAATAATGGATTAATGAGACAAAGGACTGCCTGTTATATTTACCCAAAACGAATATCTCATGTTTAACCACTATAGATACATCAGAGCCAGTGGCAAATTCCAGAAGAACTGACTGAGGCGACGCAGCTCTCAGCGGGTTCATAAATGCTGAACGTCTCCAAAAACGTCAAAGCAAATTTTTAAATAGATGTTATCTTTATAAACATACAGCATATTTGAAGTTAAAAAAAACTACATTCTCACCTAAAGACATTCAGTGACACAAAAACAGTAGGAATTTGATAATTATAGTGGGGTTGGTTGTCCTTAATGAGACAAAGGACTGCCTGTTATATTTACCCAAAACGAATATCTCATGTTTAACCACTATAGATACGTCAGAGCCAGTGGCAAATTCCAGAAGAACTGACTGAGGCGACGCAGCTCTCAGCGGGTTCATAAATGCTGAACGTCTCCAAAAACGTCAAAGCAAATTTTTAAATAGATGTTATCTTTATAAACATACAGCATATTTGAAGTTTAAAAAAAACTACATTCTCACCTAAAGACATTCAGTGACACAAAAACAGTAGGAATTTGATAATTATAGTGGGGTTGGTTGTCCGCCAAGACAGTTGCTGTGAGAAATGCCTCAAGCAGAGAGATACAAATGATGAAACAAAATATTACATGGCTGAATCTACCTCTCAGCTATCAGATTCAAGGACCAGAAGTAACTGTTTTGTATAAAATTCCTCTCACATTCATAAATGATCAGTTATGATTAAAACCATTACACCTCTCCTCAGCACTCTGAGCGTAAACATAAACATAACAGCACCGTAACATGACAACAACATGAAGATCACTGGACACTGAGCGATGAGGAACACACACTCAGTGCTATTTATAAGCATCATTACTGTATTGTTTAGTGCTGTGAGACTCCAGTGATGTTACAGGACACTGAGGGTTTGTAAGCAGATACCGGAAGAGAAAGCTGATGCCAACATAGGAAAACAATATTTCCTCTGTCCTGCTGAGCAAACAGGCCCGAATCCTCTGGAGACCTTCAAGTCCCCTGATGCTGAAGTAGATTCCCCAGAAATCCCAGAGAGACTGCATTCCTGTAATTTCTGAGGGAACCAGTGCATTTACAGCAGTGACATTTCAAAAAAGGAGATCGTTGAGGTGAACATATGGTCGTATGTCAATGTTGCGCCAAGCAAGTGGATTCATACAAAGGCCTCAGGCGGGTTAAAACACTTTTTACTGATTTATGCATGAACCAGGTCTATTTATAAACCATCTTGGGCCTCGAGGTCGGCTACAACATGCTAAAGGAAAAGACAGATGATGATCTAACCTCTCATTTGTATCTACTTCTTCCATCTCAGGCATCTGGCCGGTGGAACTCAGATTCATGTACCCGTAGATGTGGAGCGGCCCTGCGAAATGAGGAGAAACAGAGGTTATGGTGATGGAGCGGTGAGGACACAGCATCTGTTTTAACTCATAAATTATCAGTTTATTTCACGCTGGCTGTTGTCATGATTTGCTGTTGTAGTTTTCTCTGTACAGATGACAAAAATAGCTGCTCAATGAAATCGGGTCAGCCTAAATTTAAAAGGAAGGAAAATACATCAGGGGATGATGTGTGTTATCTATTAACCTCGGGATCAATATGAGAGACCGGCTGTAACGTGGCAGGAAAAAAATTTACAACTGTTGTTGAATGTCAAGTGTCGCAGAGGAGGGTAAAATGACTTATGAGCTCGGCAGCCTGGTTTTGTGAAAACAAGGAACGTGATAGAAAAGCAAGTCCTTTTCAGGGGCTTAAAAGAGAAGAAAATGAATGCATAGTTTCTAGACCTTTTGACCAATTAATTTGAATGCATTATTCATGGCATTTCCAGTTCTAGTACATAAGGATTTAAAAAATATCTTTACAAAGAATGCACTCGAAAAGAGCAAAAATTATTTATATTCACTACAGAAAGCTCCATGGTATCCCAAGGCCTGGAAATTAAACATAAATGTTTTGTTTTTGCATGGGAACCCTGCTGATAGACTCTCAGTTGTTATTGGTTTAACTTAGATGCACGACAAACACTGCTGATTGCATGGGCGTGGAGAACTCAGAGTTAACGAGTTAAGAGTTTCTTCAAGTCTGTTATGAACTCAACCCCCAGTGCGCTAAACAATAAGTTCAAGGCTTACATAAAAACCTTAATGGCCATATTTAAAACCAAGTTTTACTCTGCATGGCCAAGGTAAATTAGGTCACTTACTGTATTACATTGTACATTACGATGACACATAATCTCTTGAAAATTAATATAGCCTTTTTCCTGCATTCTCATGTGGCAGAAGGAACAATATAATCTCATTTAAAGAGATAGTTCAACCAAAAATGAAAAGTCTGCCATCATTTATTCAACCTATTAATGTTCCAAACATGACATCTAATTTATGGCATATTTGAACGTGCATAAACACAGAGCAATATCTGAATGTAAAAACTTTCATGTGAACAACTTTTAGTCAATTAATCACAAACAGCTGCATAAGTAATACAGAGTATTTTTGGTGCTTTCCCCCCCATTTTTGTAACTCAACCTCATCCATCCCCAGTCACATTCATTGAGTAGGAAAGAGTACCATAAGAGGGTACATTACTGTGGCACATTGAGGCTGTTTTGTTTTTAATGCATGTCAAAAGAGGAGAAGCTGCAGTACACTGAATAACTGCTTCTGTAAGGAAAATCAACAAACTAAATATTTAGGCCTAAATTAAGGATTTTTACATTTGAATTTCATTTAAAATTAAATCCATTTGGATTACACACTTGTTACATAATCAAAGTAATAAAGTTAATAGGATGCATATTTATCAAACAGGTAAGAATTTCCCTAATAGTAATAATAAACTGAATGTTAAATAAATACAATATGTATTGTATTATTATATGTATAGGACGATTCTAATGTCCCGATGATTATGGGGGGGGTGGGGGGGTTCTACAGAGGGACCATTTTTGTGAATCATAAAATAAGCTCTTAAGACTTCACTCAAGTTCCAAGGGCCCTTTGAGAGGTTTGATTCATTCAGCAGGAGAGAGCTCCATGTCGAATGAATCGTCTCCTGTTTTCTTTCACATCTGAAGCAAGGAGATTTGTAACTGCAATAAGTGTCTGGGTTCGGCACATGCACAGACGTATAAATCCATGCTGGCACAATAAGAGCAGCTCTGCAGTTGGGAAGCATGCCCATGTGAAACACACACACATATACACAGACAGAGAGAGTGAGAGGGTCTGTTAAAGGTTTACAGTAAACGTGGCTGGACTGGTGGGATTCTCATCATCGTCAGCTCTGCCTGAGAGGAGAATTCCAGCATGAGCCCACCAACGTGGATGTTACACCTCCAGACAGGACACAAGTCTCCCGGTTAGTGGCCAGTTAGTCTGTGTTTTACATTCTCCTGATGTCCAAACAGGCACATGAGGGGCTACCCATTGACACCTAGAACACTGAAGCGTTTCCTTCCTGAACAAATCATTTGAATCAATGATTCGATGATCCATTCCTTTCTAAATGAATCAGCAATTTTAAAGGAATTGTTTGAAAGAATGATTCAATTAATCACTCATTTAGACAGGGACATTGGTTTTGGTGCCATATTAATTTATCCATAACTAGCCGAAACCAACCAAGGTATGAGCACAAAAACACATGCAGCAAAATATAATTTAATTATCGTTAGCAAAAAATCCCAATATTGAGATATCATTTTTTTTGTCAATATCGCACACCACTACATACATAAAAAGGATATGAGTTCTGACATAATCTAATAAACATAGACACACGTGAAGAAATGACTAAAGCTAACAGCACCTGAAACAGCTGGCCAAATGCCATTAGTTTTAGCACATGCCAAACATACGCCAAAGTCATAAAACACAGACACGGTTTCTTGTAACTAAGAGTCCCTTTCGATTTTTATTTGCTTGCAAGTGACTTCAAAAGCCATTTAAAATGGGAGTGAATTAAATAAACCGGATGCTTATGAAATCTGAAAGCTACAAAATGTGCTTGGCCCACAAGAGGCTTTCTAATCTACTCTAGAGTGCCACATAAAAATGGAGAGGAAAAAAACTAACTCTGGAGTATTCTCAATTCAGCTCCTTTAGAAGCAAATCTTGACATAGTCAATTCAGAAAAGCAGCGCATATCACACAGCTCAGTTTAATTAAAATATTACGTGTTTTAACCTTCAAGTAGACACATTCACAAAGGGCGTGCAGAAGATGCATAAAATGTTAAATGTGGAGGTGTCACTGCTGCTGCTAAGTGATACCGGACTAAGAATAATATTTCATTTTTTTGACGGCATGCCACAGACTCTGGCACATTTTGATATTGCAAGCTGGTGAAAAATGCTAGCTTTATTCTTATTGGCGGAGCACATGTTGATTTTTTTAAAGGAACAGTGACCCTGAAAATTTCAACTGATAGCTTTGTGAGAGTAACAGACCAAAATTCAAGTTGTTACTCAATGAAAATCGTCCTTTTGTCATAATGAGAAAGCAGGTTTGACATCAAACATCATTGGTTCTTGTGTGTCTTGTATGCAGCAGGTTTAAATATGTGCAAATGCCAATATTCTTTTGAGAGCTATAAAGGTAAAACATTTTTTTTAAAGAAAATTGTGATATGAGGAAGAAAAATAATGACAGAATGTTAATTTCTTTGTTCATCAAACAAGGTATCTACTAGCACCTGCATATTTATACAACTGTCAAATTTTAGATTTGTACTGAAATGAAAGTTTTAGAGTAGTGGTTGACCGATATTGGTTTTTTGACAGCCGATGGCGATATCTTGAAAAGCAGGGTGACCGATAGCCGATATAAAGCCGATATAATTTTATTTATTTTAATTAATGTTTAAGAAATTTGAAATCATTTGAAAATTGATTAAAAAGTAAATGTGTTAAATAAACATACTTTTACTTTAGATGACAAAGTATTCTCACAAATAAATAAATATTTAATAAAAAATATAATAAAAAAAGGAAGTGTAACCAACAGGGCACTCAGTATTCTGGGAAGTTTGTGTGCATTGGGATGTGGGAATCATATTTTTTCAAAGGTAACACAGTGGAAATGACATGAATATGGCAGTGGGCAAATGCATAAAGCGCAGCATAATTTGAAATCACTAGTTTAAAGTTTGTCTAACGCGCATCTCCAGTGAAGCTGAACTCTCCACCTGTCCGCATTCAATTCACACGGATCGACCGTCACGCAGAGAACATGCGATCATTCAGGATACAAATACACACTTCACAAGATCTCACTACTGGATCTGACTACGTTTGCAAGCTTTGTGAAACTAAATGTTCATTAGTCATTCAAAGATTTGTTTAAATGATATAAATGCATATTTGCTGAATGCTGACGACAAACAAGAAAGTATTATAATGTTTGCTTTTCTATTACTAATAATATAAAAGCAATCATTATAATACTTTCTGTATACATTTTAATTCCTTTGTTTAACCGTTCTATCTGATTATTAGACAGACTTCTATCCATAGACAGAATTAGACAGAATTCTGTCTTCTATTAGACAGAATTGTTAACGACGACAGCACTGTGCTCAGGCCGCTGTCAGCGCCGTCAAAATAAAAGTCCCGCCTCGAACGCATCGGCCAAACAGGAAAACTTATCGGCCAATGCTGATATTTTAAAAACGCCAAATATCGGCCGATATATCGGCATTGGCGATATATCGGTCGACCGCTAGTTTAGAGGGCCCCTTCTGGTCTATGTGGGTGGTTCTTGGCCAGAATAAACTGCAGAATTCATATTTTATGCTACACAAGACTTGGCTGCATGATATAAAGTCAATATGAAACAGGACCTTTCACTCCTTTTTTTCCAAGTGAAACAGGATAATCAACAAAGAAAAAAAATACTCAATTTTATCTATCAGGAATTGACAGGGTCATGAAATGTAGGTGTTAGTAAGAGGGTTTCATGACGTCAGTTTAAAAGGAAAGTTATTTTGAAGGCAGAGCAAAACATTACATTTTAATAGATGATGAATTTTTATTTGGAACAGTGTGCACCAATGTTTATCTTTAAATATACATGTATCAAAAAATAAAAACTATATAATTTCCACAAAAATATTAAACCGCATTTCCACAAAATAAATGTTTTCTTTGAGCAGCAAATCAGCATATTACAATGATTTCTGATGGAACATGTGACACTGAAGACTGGAAGTGATGATGATGAAAATTCAGCTTTGCAACAGGAATAAATTATATTTTAAAATATAACCAAATAGAAAACCGTTATTTGAAATTGTAATCATTTTTAACATTATTACAGTTTTTCCTATATTTTTGATTAAATAACTGCAGCCTTGGTG